GGGGGGGGGGGGGGGGGACGGGGGCGGGGGGGGGGCTGCGGAAGTGCGGAGAGAGGGCAAGGCAGAGATGGAGCGGGGGCCTAATACTGTTTTGCCCCATCCGGGGTTGTAGATGCCCCCTGACCCTAGCCAAGAGACCTTGCATTTCGGTATTATTCTTAGTCTTATTATTCTTATCTTCTTTTTTTTTAAACAGAGAGACAGACAGAGACAGACAGACAGGCAGAGCCGCAGTGCACACGGTGCGTGTGTCGGAGAGGCCGCCGGGAGACTCACCGCAGCAATGCTACGTGAATGCAGAGGGCTGGAGGTGGTGTGACTACTCACTTGCTCGGCTAACAGCTGCCGGTTTTGGATGGAATTATTCCGCAACAACAAGAAAGCGTCGGTTAAACGCCTGGTGGCCATGTCTCACCCTTTGTGACCCCCCTCTCAGGGGACCCCCGCCCACTTATATTCCTGATTTATTCACTTTCTTTCTCTTGGCTTCGTCTAGCTGGCCCACCCTTTCATAGAAGCCTCTCTTGACAAGACCTCAGGCCTCAAACCAAAAAAGCGCAGCTTTGCGCTTCGCCAAAGCGCAAAGACCCCTCCTCAAATAACCAAGCTTTCCAATTGTCTGACTCCCCCTACCCAAGCCCTGACTTTGATCTCTAAGCACTTGAATCCCCCCAATCCTTGCTTAGCGAGCCAACGTCCCAGAGACCCCACCCCAATCCAACCTTGGATCTACAAGCGTCTAACTCGCCAATCCGGCTCTGGACTGAGATGTCCTGAAGCCCCCTACCACCGTTAGTTCCTGAGAACCCCAAAGGTCTTTGCCCCTACCCCTAACTTGGCTCTCAGCGTCGAGGCCTTGCCCTGGGGCCTTGCTCTGACTCAGTTCCCCCACCAGAGGCCTGCCCTAGGCTCTTTTTGAACAATCCGAGGCAGGCCTGGATCCTGGACTCAAAGGCGCCTGCAGCTCCCTTCCTGGGCCTTGTCTGAGTCTGCTCAGGCGCGGCCCGACCTCCTGACCCCTTCCTTTCCTGGGCGGCCTGGTCCTCCACTGCCAGCAGATTGCTGGCCTGCAGGAGGACAGCAGGGCCTGCCTGCCTGCCCGGCCTTGTCACTCTTCTTCTCCGGCTCCCTCCATCCCCGGATCTGACTGCAGCTCAACCCCGGGCCGTTTCCGTGCTGTGGTCCCGGGTTCTGGCGTCCCCCCTGGCCCTCTTCCTGTCCGTCCCTCGCGAGTGCCCCCCTGCGACGCTCGCAAGCCTTGCTCGCAACGTTCCGGGCGCGGGAACTCCCTGCCCCCTTGCCCCGGGACGCGGGAGCGCTCCGCCCCCTCCCTGGGTGCTCCCTGGGCGCCTCGTTTCGCCTTCCCCAACTGGGCCCCGGCACGGGGGGCAGGCGAGAGGGCAGGCCCGAGCCTGGGGAGCGTGGCCCCAAGCAGCACACCGCTGCCAGAGGCCTTGGCGCCTTTATTAGAGTGGAAGTTGCGCTGGAAAGGAAAGAGGAAGGTGATTGTGCAAAATGAACCTACAAACAAGTACTCCAAGGAGATGAGACAGACTGCGTCGGGTCCCAGATAACCAGTACGTTATGACCCCAGAGTTGGGTTTGTAGGCCAGAAGGAAGGGGCTCTGTGCTGCCCCTTCACTCTAATAATAACAATAATAGTAACTCTCACATGGACAGCACCTACTATGTGTCCAGCACAGTGCTGGAACTTTATACACCTTTTTCCCTCACAGAACTGGACTGGTGCGTGTGCAACACACACACGCAAGATATGGAAGGACTTCGTATAACTTCGTATAATGTATGCTATACGAAGTTATTACGGGGGGAAAAAAAAAAAAAAAAAAAAGCGAGAGCTGCAGGCCGCTTGGGCCGTGCCGCCGCCTGAGCCAGGGGTCGTCGGGGGCGCCCGCCCTCCCCAGCCGCCGCTTTCTGTAGGGGGCACTGCAGGGTTGTGGAAACTCAAGTGAAAAAGTTCCCCGAAAACTTTGACACCCCTCTATCCCCCTTCCAAAAGCTTTGTCCTCGCGACTGGGCCCGCGGCCCCCACGCCCTCGGCGTTCCGGGCCCGGTTGCCTACGGTCGGGGGCGGCCAGCGCACCCCCACACGCCGCCCGGGTCCCGGTGGATGGGACTGGGGCAGGGGCTCCGCGGGGCCGCGACGGGCTCGAGCACCCCTCGAGGCCCGATCCCGAGCGCGGCGACCAGGGTCGTGCGGCCTCCCCTGGAGAGAACCCCGAGTCGGGCCCCGAGCCCCTCGCGAGACCAGCGCCCGAAAGGCCAGGCCGAGAGGGTCGGGGTCGCCGAGCGGGCTGGTCGCGCCTCGGACGAGTGGCAGCTCCGCGGGGCTGCGGGCCGAACTCGCGGGTGGGTTTCAACAAAGCACCTCACCCCGAAGACTCGGGAGCGGCCCCGCACGCCCGCCTTTGTCTCTGCGTGGAGCAAACTTTGCACACACGCGTGTATTTTCCGAGCGTTTCCCGTGTGCAGAGCGCAGGACTGGAGGAGCGGAGTCCGGCACACGGAGACCCGCAGCCGGTGCCCGCGGCTCCCGGGGGGCGCCCTCGCGGGGCCGCAGGGACCGGCCGAAGCGCCGCCGACCCCGCGCGCGTTTTCTTCTAGAGGAAGCGTTTTCGGTGTAACTAAAAATGAATGTGAAAAAATGTCTTTGAGGCAAATAACCAAATACATAAAATAAAAGAGAAAGAATCGAGACGGCCAGCGAGCGGGACTGGGCAGTTCTCCGCCAGGCCCGGCTCGGCTTGGAGCCGGGGAGACGCCGAGCGAAGGGCCGACCGTGGAAGAGGCTCGGCGACACGAAAGCTCGCCGCGCGGGGACCGCACACGGCCGGCAGCTACCGGGGCCGAGCCGTAGGCTGCAGGGGCGTGAAGACCGTCCCTGCAACGACAGGGACCCCGACTGATCGCGGGGAGGGAAATTCGGGGAGCCTGTGTGTGGACACCCGGGCTGAGCGCGGCACCCCGGGAAATATTTGCCGAACGAGGGAGAGTTCTGTCCCCACACCGCGGCCGATAATTCCCCCCAGAAAGATTTGACCCCAGTCATCCGGCCACCCCCTCCCCCCTCAGAGGACAGGTATTTGTAAACAACAACGGCGCTGGTCTTCCGTAAGAACATCAGATTAGAAACGTGGACCCCACGCCGTTCTCCTCCCTGGAGCGCTCATCGCCTTGCAAAGCAGGGACTTGTTTACGTCTCCGGGCTCTCTCCCCCAGGCTAGAACGTGCTCTTCCTCCTACGCAGGACCGTGTTTTATGCATCTTTGTACCCACTGCCATCTCATCTGGCTGGGAACAGGCTGCGGATAAATGTTTTTTTTTAAATATGTGCGTAAATGAATGAGAGACCCGAGATTTAGTCCCCAAACTCTCTGACCTCCCTCGAGTGACTTTAAGCCTTTAGAGCTCTTATCTGCTAGGAAAAAAAAAAAATGTGGGCTTTTCATAATCCTTGTAATCCGTGCCCTGTCTACCTCTCCGGGGTTATTGTGATGATCAAATAAGATAAGTGAAAACGCATTGTAAACTATCAGGTGCTGAGCAAATATTATATAGGATGGTTATTCATTCATTCCCTTCCTCCGTTTGGGAAGCTTAACAGAGTAATTCCTGGTCTTGTGTTTCAGCACATGGTGGTCGTCCTTCCTGGTCAGTCTTAAATATTTATTGTGGGACAATCTCTTTCTTACATTTAAGAAATCAGTCAAGCTCCCATTTCTTCGAGTGAAATGAACAGTGCTTGCACATATAAATAATGGGAGAGAAATCCTCCTATTCCCAAAACAGCCACCCCAAGCCCAACAGCAGGGAGATCATGAAAAATCCGAGATTGGCATAGCAACCCAAAGGCAGCACCGTGCAGCTGTATCCCGGCTACGTTCAGGCACGGGATCGTGTGTGTGAAATAGTGTTCAGAGAAAAGCAGGGAGCCCCAGAGAGAGCATGCAGACTGGCAGTCATGTGAATGCACGCCCTGACCCACATTGGGAGGGAATGGGGGAAGGATGTAAATCATTATATTTGAATGTTCCTTGGCTGTTTTATTTTCCTGTCAAGTGGCTTAAGCTTGTTTTTTTTTTTTTTTTTTTTTTTTTAAGCATTCCCTCATGGCCAAGTATGTGTTTCCTTGGAATTGAAATCTAGGTTGATGGTTTTATATTTTAAAAGCTTTCATTGTGACTCATTCTTGGCCTGGGATAGGATTCTGTAATACTCCCCAAGCTTAAAGAGCCTCAGTGTCCTGTTTCTTGGGCTTCGTACCCACTTTCTAATATTTTGCCCACGGATCCAAGAAGTCACTTTTGGGAACAAGTGTTTCATTGTCTTCCTGTCATTTTAATCAGTGTGGAAGGGAACCATAAACATGGACTTTCCCCGATGAAGCCAGACAACAGCAGGAGCAGAGGAAGGTTTTCAAATGCTGGTAGGTTAGTGATTAAACATGGGTTAGCAGTGCGAGACACCTACCCTTTGGTGAAGAAGTTTAAATGAGATAGGGCTCATGAAGCCCTTATGCAGGTTTGGTACACAATAATGCTGCATAAATAGGCAATGTGATTTATTCCAGCAGCAGTCTTGGTGTCGGAAAGCTCACATGGGCTCACCTCTCTCTGGAAGGCATCACCAACTCCTAGGAGGAGGGCATGGTAGTGGGAACTGAACACTATCCAAGCACATTTTTGAGATTCTTGTTCTGTTGCTCGGGAATCCAGATGTATCTGCAACATACTCTCATGTGGAAGAGGGGTTTAAGTAGGCTCACATGGGAAACTTCTAACTTTGGCCTTGCTAGTGTCTATAGCAGGACAGAAGGTTGGTTTTTGATCAGGACGATTAGGACGAGCAGCGCGAGCCCTCAAGATTAATAGAAGTCTCATTTGCACAGTCTGACATAACAGGCAGACTCAGACCAGATCAGGAAACAGAAGCTTTGCATTCTGTTTCCCCACTAGTTCCTCAAAACCTTGAGGATTTCCAATCTCAGAAAACTCCCTAGCTCTGTCAGTCTTCAGCTATGATGCCTCTCCCAAGCAGAAAGACTCTGGAGAGAGGCAACAGCTTTGTTTTGTCTGGACTCCTTTAGTTTTTCATAGCAGACAATGCAATTCAGTAGGCATTTTAAAAATCTACCAGTGGCTGTGCCTAGTTCTTATCAGGCACAGTTAAAAAGGATGAAACAGAGCAAAACTCTCGCCCTCAAGGAATTTGCATCTCCCCTACCTCTGCCCAAATTCTGGTTCTCATCATGTGCATTTTTCCAAGAGCCTCCTAAAAACCACCTGTCTCTTCCTCTTCTTTCATCCTTTACCCCGCAGCCACAGTGACCTTTCTAAAGCACAAATCTGATCATGTCACTACCTGATTGAGGCCCTGAAACAGCTCCCTCTGGCCCACACTAGCCGATCTCAAACAACGCTCAGCAGAAAACAGGTGCTCTCTAAGCTGAATCAAGATGGGCCATCACTAATACTAGCTACTCATGGTCCTTCTTGGTTGGCAGAAAAAAATAAGCTAATTGATGGAATCGTCTTCATGTTAAGTGTTTCCCTCCTCACTTTCTCTTAAACCTTTGGTCCCTGCTACAATTTACCTGTATGAGAATATAATATAAGATTATACCTGATTTATCCCAGAATCATGAATTTCATTACAATTTTTTTTCCCCCATGAATCAATATTTCCTGGTGTTCCGTGTGCAGATGTTCTCTGCTGTCAACACAGTGGAGTCCCCCCCTGGGATGGAGGACTGGCATCCAAATCCCTTCCCGACAGCCCCCTCCCCAAGTGGTGAGCTTTCTTCTTTCCAAGTCTTAGCTCACATGTTTTTCTCTGCCCATGGTGGTGTCTTTCTCTTCTGGCTAGTGAACTCTTCCTTCAAGACTTAGTGCCACCCACTGCCTGGTATAGTAGTGTTTGTGGAATGGATGGATTGATACACAGAAAGATGAGGTTAAAGATGTTAAGTACCAGAGAAAACCAGACTGTCAAGACTGAAAATGGCTAGCAAAGACAGAGACTCTGGTGGTCCTCTTTCCCCTTCTCACTCACCATTCTCTAGCCACCCTAGCCTTCTTACTATCT